CCCCAAAACCCCAAAACCCCAAAACCCCAAAACCCCGTATTAAGTCTCCAGCACTGAATTTAATAATACAATTTAAAGAAAATATTATTTTCTCTATCATGGGACATGAAAACAGTTGTTGTGTCACTAAACGGCAATCTCCAGAACCTATAGACTCAGAATCTTGCCTTAGCAACAAAAATAAAGGTAAGTTCTAAATAAAATTTCTCCAAGACTACTCTCCACTCTCCTACCAACAATCTTTCCTCAAATAAACCTGCTATTTCTATGAAAAACCTATCAAGATGACTCAATAAACCTCTCTTGTCCCTCTCACCACCTACTAAAACTTTCTGCTAAACACTACATTTGAATACTCTCCCAGTGAAAGCTAAAAATCTGACAGGGGAGTAGGTCAGAAACTAGTTAGCAAAATAGCCCCAAAAATTGCTGTCTCACCATAAATTTTATGTTTATTAGAGAGAATGTATCTTGGAAGCTGAAGAAATTAAATCTTAATACTTAGACTGTATATATCATAATTAAATTGCTTTCTGGCTTTCCTAAAAGAAATTGCAGTATTTTCAAATTGAACAATTCTCAAGAGAAGCTTTGTGACATTTTAAAGTCAGAACAGACATAAAACAGCACTCTAGTGGCACAAATCGTACTTGGATTTCCTCGTTGACCATATTAATTAAGGTTAGAAAATATTCAGTTTCCCTATTTTTTCACATAAAATGACCCAAATAAAATTTAGGCAGATTGATTATAAACTCTTTTGGGATTTAGTACCCATTAAAAATACTGTTACCTTCTAATGTTCAATTATTAAGAATGACTATCAGCAAGGTTAGACAAAAAGAATAACCTGTTTAGATAAAAGGCACTTATGTTTAGTTATTCTTCCATAATCTAAGTGCCAAGATATTAAATTTCATTAAACTTATTTGGTGCTTCACCGATATAGTAAGAAAGAGAGGGAGATGAAGGAGTCCGCTAATCAATTCTAAACAATTGAGATTACATCTTGTTTGAAATAAAAATTGATTATAGCAACTTTCAGTCTGCAATTTTATACAGTTTATTGTGCATTCCCAGAACTTAGGATAAGTTTTGATTTTAAGATTTCAGCTTATTCGATAATTCATAAAATCTATTAAATGCCACCATATACTCTTCTGGGAGCTTTTTCTTATATATCAATAAAAAAATTATATCGAGCAACTTTCTCTACCTTCAGGCAACATTCATCATTATTTTTCTTTCTCCAGTCGACTCATTCCGATCAGTAAATTCATAATTCTATCAACAGTTCTTCATCCTACTCTTACATAAGAATTTCAGGTTCACCAACATATTTTGGGAATTATCAGGAGTTCTGTTACTAGATCTCAGTCGATATCACCTGTGCTCATTAGAATCTTTATCTTTTGCCTTGAGTTTCTTTTCCAATAAGCATAACCAAGTCTCTTTTTCTTCCTATTTTGTGCGACTTTGTATGGTGGGTTAGAATCATTCAAACTTTATTATTAATCTGGAATTTTTAGATTGGTCTTTGCTAATCTGGTCATCCAAGATTGCCACTAGCTTAAGAGAAGCTCTTATTATCAAAGGATTAGCTTGCAATCAAATATTTAGAGATGCAAACATTTCTACATTGAAACTTGGCAATCATTGTTAACCCACTTTCTTTGTAATGGATGGGATAAGCGAGAAAAGATGTACTTTTATAAATATCTTCACTCTATGGAATTGACAGTACTTTTTTGTTTGACACCGGAACTATATCTCAAATATTAGCTTTAAAACTAGGCTTATGAGGTTTATAATCTGGGATTATCAAACTTCTACTAATTCTTAAGTTTTCTTTTTCTCGAGTGAAATTTCTGACACAAAATATCTTTTATTTTAAAAAGCTCTCTTTGTTTCTAACCCTCCCTTTTAGGAGAAGTATCAAGAGACCAAAAACGAACTAATAACAAAAGTTCCGCTCAAGAGATCAAAGTACCAACACTCATAACTGTATAGAAAACTAAAAGTGTGGGCAACCCAAAACTAAGCCAGTCTCATTATAATGCACAGGTGCGCCATTTTATAATTATTCTCTAGCATCATTTAAAAAGGAAAAAACTTGGACATTTCAACTCAAAGGTCTCCTCAAAAAGGAACTTGTATGGTGCAAGCAAGAAGCAGAAGAAGTACAACTCCGCCGTTGAGAAGCAAAGTACTTCATTTGGTCTAATATTTAGCTTCAAAGAAAGATATGCTGGGCAAGAAAGTAGGAGAAAGCTCTTTCTGAACCCCTGCTAAAACTGAAAGCTCTAAGATGAAGTCAAGTCCAAATAACAGTTTTTACAGTAAGCAAAAATTCAACATTGCTCTTTGAATTAAGGTTTTTGCCAGGATTCGTGTGATCTTTGATTTATAGTGACTTGTAAGACCCAAAATTTTACGAGAAAAACTAGCATAATTAGCACAGATATCATTTATGAAGAAATGGCAGATGAATTTGAGAAAATGAGAGAGAGGTACAGCTACAAGAAGTGTTCTACTGGCACCAAACTTCCCAAGCGTGCATCTACAATGTACACTAAGATAGATGGAAAGAAAGCTGTTTGTTGCAACAATGCAGTTGTCGAGAACTTTAAACTGAGATAAATATCTAATCCATATCCTAACATTCTGGGACTAAAATATAATGATCAAATCTATGCACCAGCCCTTGATCTTTTGTATGAGGATTTTACCATTCTAATAACTTTAAGGACCGAAAACAGTTTAAGCTTTTGGTGCAATTTGAGCTATAGATATTTTAAAGTATTAATAATTTAATGTGTTTGGCTAAACTCAATAGGAGATAGTATTCTGGGGTTTTGGGGTTTTGGGGTTTTGGGG